AAGGGGTACAGTGACACATGCCTGTAATCCCACACCAGGGGAGGTGGAGGCAGGAGGATCAGGAGTTCAAGGTTATCCTTAGCTACTTAATGAATTCAAGGCTATTCTGAGCTGCATAAGATTTTGTCTCCAAAAACAGAGTGAAAAAGGGAGGGAGGTAGAAAGACAGACAGACAGACAGACAGACAGAGAGAGAGAGAGAAAGAGAGAGAGAGAAAGCTCCCCAGACACAGAACCTGTTAGCCCTGCCTGAATGCCGTAGAACTTTCTCACTGGCTTTCAATGACATAGATCATTGATTGCTCCTCATATCACCTCCGGAACACTGTGATCTTACCGTGTTTGCTTGCACATTAAGGCATCTGAAGTCATTCAGGCTGATGTGGTTTGCGGAGGACAATGTCCTGCAGGTGACAACCCAAAATAAAGACATTGGCCCCAGGTCCCACATCCCGATGTACTCTGACGAAGCTCACACTAACTCCTCCAACACTGTGATTCAGGCAATGAAAGGAAAGGGCACGGGAGGCCGACAGACAGAAGTTTAAATGTCAACCTAGGCAGAGCACAGCTCTGTGTCCTGTTGGATTCAGCTGTGGGCCTCCATTTCCCCAGGTACAGAGGATGCTTAACTTTTCCGAGTCATGAGGGTTTAAAAACGATGCCCTATGTAGTGTCTGGCACATAGTAGGTGTGTTCATCTACTCCTCCCTCCCTTCTCAGAGGATTAAAAAGCAGGCCTTGTAGGCTGTATCACAAGGCCTTAGGTCTCTGTCAGATCTCCATTAAAGGAAGGCATGTACCAAGGAACCTCTAGTTCCCAAATTCTATTGAAAGGGAAAAATCAGCAGCCATCTTGAGACATCCCCCAAAGGTATTTGCTGACCGGCAGTTTTAGAACTGACCAGAAGTTAAACTCATGAGAAGATAAGGCTGAAACAATAAATCTATATATCCTGGACTTGGTAAAACAGGATATGGGGAGTAATGGACTCAGCTGACCAGAAATTGAACTTATGGGAAAACAGGACTGGAACAGTAAATCTGAATGTATATATCCTGGGTTCAGCAAAAGCAGGACATAGAGAGTAAAAATGTATGTCTCTGTAGATACCCTGGATCCTGTCAGCCATCAGTAACCTCATGCTTATAGTTCAGCAAGTAACTTCAAAGAACTACCTCACCCCTAGCCCCCTCATCCAATCCCAAGCTGCATGTAAACCTTTCCTATAGAAACCCCTTCAAGTGAGTGCTCTGGGGCGTCCTCCTCTACCCCCTGTGTTGGATGTTGGACATGAGGACCAAGCCCCGGGCCTGCTTGTTTTGTTATTAAAAACCTGTGTGTGCTTGCATCGGATATCGGCTCTGTGGTGGTCTTGCTTGGGGGCCTTGTGACCTGGGCACAACACTGTGAGTGTTAGAGCATTAACCTGGGTTAATCAGGGAACGTTTCATCTTAGCAGCTCCACCGGGGGCCAGCTGTTAGCTTGCCACAGCAGGATCAGACCTGCTTTGACTTAACTTACCCTACGGGCTCCGGCAAGTGTCACAAGGATTTATTGCTTTCCCCCATGAGCCTCAGGGAGATGATCACCAAGAAGGTAACAGCTGCCATGACACAGTGATATTGCCATAGCAGAGTTGGTGCGGGGTGGGAGGGGGCAGCCCCCCCCCCTTTAGTCTCAGTGAGCTGCTAGTCTAGTCTCATTCAATTAGCATTTAGCTATTAGCACCTCGTAGGTGCCTTACGGGTAAAATACCCTGGAATGTCAAGGGGAGAACAGAATGAAAAGAAGGGCTGGGGCCCCAGCACCTTCTACCTGAACTGGTTTTGCCGCCCGGCCAGATCTCTACAGAGATCTCTCGGCTGCTCTAATAGCTCCTTCCTTCTTCCCAGGCGTGGACTGCTGAGCGCTCCCAACAACAGCCTTCCTCTGGTTCCCCCCAGCGGCTCTATCTGTTCCCTCCCTCCGCGCAGCTTCTTGCTTCTGTTTTCCTGAGAGACTCTTCACTTCCCAAGCTCTTCCCTCTACATGCCTCCCGTTACCATTGTCCGGGTGAAATTCCAGCTGACCCTTTCCTTTGAACCCTGTGGGCTTTCACCCATGCTTCCTCCACTGGGCCACACATTGCCAACCATTGTTGGCCAGACACTGAGGGTGGATGCTTTTGTAGGAAGTCCCTTAGCTGAGAAGTAATCCAGACAATGGGTAATTCCTTTAGCGTCTGGTCACTGTGCCAAGCACAATAAAGCCACTGGAGAGAATGTGCAGCTTTGGAGACGTGAAAGCCTCGTGGGCAGCGAGCCACATGCTCAGAGCTTTGTCTGCCGAGAGCTGTGTTCACGTGGTATGTCTGCCTCTGACGAAAACCTCAGGGGTTTTTGTTTTGTTTTGCTTAGATTTACTTATTTTCATTTCATGTGCATTAGAGTTTTGCCTCTCTGTATGTATGCCCCTGCAGAGGGCAGAAGAGGGTGTCAGATTCTCTGAAGCTGGAGTTACAGATGGCTGGAGAGGGTGGGGAGTGGGAGTGGGGGGTTGGCATGCTTGGGGTGGGTGGGTGGTGCTTCGTCTGTGAGCACCCTAGCCAATGAGGAAGACAGTTTGGTGCGACACAGCTCAGAAGGCAGTGTTGGTTCCCTCGGAGAGTCTGACTCAAGTAGTTTACTGTGGGCATATTAAAGCACAGCACAGTCCCGTGAAGCTTCCTGGCGATGATGAACTCAATCCCGTGTGCACAGCAAAGCGTAGATCATGGCTACATGGAAACTCTTTGTAAAGTGCATGTGACACCTCCTATGACGATGAGTTCTGTAGATTGGCCGAGAAAAACAAGCTCAAGAGAAGGGTCTGGGGAGGATCCGGTGTGGTCTTGGCCACACAGACAGTGCTAAGGTCCTCAGGCTATCAACCATGTCCACTCCCTACCTTCTGGGCAGAAAACAAGCTATACATCTCTCCCTTTGAAGAGACATTCCTGGTCCCCCAGTGTTTTATCTGTGAGTATAAGGACCGGTGTGCCTCCCACAGTGGTGAGCCACCATGGGGGTGCGGGGAACTAAATCTGGGTCCTCTGCAAGGGTAACAAGTGCTCTTAACGGCTGAGCCATCTCTCCAGCCCCAGTTCAGAGTTTTAGTTTAGTGTGGGTGAGTGTGTGTGTGTGTGTGTGTGCGCGCGTGTGCGCGCGCCGTTCAGTACCTGTGGAGATCAGAGGATAACTTTCAGGAATTGGTTCTCTCTTTCTACCACATAGGTTCCTGGCATCATACTCACGCTTGGCAGTGGGCGCCCTGACCTGCAGAGAGCAACAGAGGTGCCTCTTGTGTTGTTTGTGGGACACAGGAGGGGACCCGGGTGCAAGAGAACAAGCCAATGACTTGTTAAATGTTGTGAGGTCAGTATGGCCCCCAAACATATAAAGGGCTCCCTACTGAGACAGCCAATCCAATTTGTGAAAGATCATTGTTGGTGCAGGGTTTTGCCAGTTAGCACCTACTGATGCTAGTCAGAAGGCAGGCAGGGACCAGAAGGAACTGGAGAAAAAGAGACATGGTTTGTTTGATGCGACATGAAGCAGAAGGCTCCAAACACAAAATGCTGTTGCTCACCATCATGGGTACCACTCATTAAGTCCCATCACCCTTCAGAAACGGATCTGAGCTTTGGAGGGGGGCATCTGTGCTAACAAGGAAGTTACCACCCCCACTGGTGACTTCCCAGGTCCCTCAGAACACAGCCAAGTCTGCAACAATGTTGTTTATCTTATTGTCTGCCTCTCGCTCTCACGCTGATGGCCGCTGGCACTCAGGAAGCAGCCCTCTGCCTTTCCCTCTCCTGGGCTCCTGGCACTGAAACAGTGCCTGGCATCCGAACAGCACTCAGAGGGCTTTTAAGGGTGCTTGTAGGAACTAATGAGGAAACTCTTGAGGCCCAGCAAGGATTACCTTTAACCTACACATTTTTCTGGTAAATCTGAACTAGAAAACCGCAAGAGGTGTGTGCATGAGGCTGTATGCTCTCCCCAGGGTGCCCCCTGGAGATGAACCGTCACCGCACAGGAGAAACGCATGAGCATTCCACTTAATGAGGTCACTGTGTTGAGTGCCAGGCCATCCTTCTCATCCTCCTTGCCATTGTCTGGCATCTATCTCATTTTACAAGAGCAGACTCATCTTTTGTCCCTTTGGGTATTATTCCATTTCCACTGCATGTTTAAGGAACCCGAGGTTCTGAGAGACTGGTTCTGGCAAGCCTACTCAGTTAGTGAACTTTCGGAGATGAATTTGCACCCAGTTTGCTGAGCAAAGCCTCTAAAGGCGACTGGTGATGTGAGCAAGAATTCCATTAGTAGGTAGGAAGCTGTGCCCTCAGGAAGCAGGTATGGGAGCTGCGAGGGGGGGGGGGGGGCAGCACGTTCTGAAGCAGACAGTAAGTGGTGGACTTTGGGGACCATGAGAAAATGGGAGGGGGGACCTGGGGAGGAGGAAGAAGAGACCCAGCCTGCTCAGAACTTCGGGGCTGCAGCCTCTCCAAGCAGGAGCCAGGCACAGCAGGAGAAACACCTCCGATCAATAGCTCCAGCAAGCAAAGCATCAGAGGTTGACAGCCAGGTTCAGGGACCCACCACCTGCCTCCTGTTCAACAGCGAGAGTTCAGGGAAATGAAGGTATGATACTTTACAGGAATCACCCTTGGGAACCCTTGCACCGACCAGCTGGTTGGAGGGTGGGAGGTAAAATGCCAAGTTTGACCAGGAGATCCTTGGACAACGCTGTACCTAAGCAAGCACACACTTCCTCCAGAGGGCTGATACCAACGACACACTTCTGTCGGTTAACTAAAACCCAATAGCCCACAGGGAAAGGATTAAGTGAGGTTTGCAGTAATTTTCTACACGGAGGGTGGAAAATCTCCATCACCAAGGCTCTGGTCCTGATTTAAAGTCAACTCCACCCCTGTTCTCCAGTCCCCAGTTGGTTCTGCGGCTGTGCCCCTACCTCTGTGGTCCAAAGGCCATTCTGTTTCTGGGTCAGAGGGCCTGAGCTGAGGCTCTGGGAGTTGGGACACTGTGTCCCACAGTTCATCTTCTTCTCTGGGTTGGCTATTCCACCTGGGGCTGCAGATCGGAGCACACCATTAGAGGACAGTCCATCTTCCAGCACACCTGGGGAGGCAAGGAGAAGATGGCGCCAGAGGCTTGCAAGGGCAGGTGTTCTAAACCACCCCAAGGTGCTGCAGCCACAAGCTCTGCGGAATTCTACCACGTAAAGTGTCCTTTCCTGAAAGAATACGTGGATTTTTATGTAAAAAAAAAATGAGATTTTAAAGTAATTTGTGGCTTGATATTTTTACTTAACACATCGATGACAACTCTTCCTCACCATTAAACATTCAGCCATGTGATTTTTTTTTTTTAACAACTCTGCTGGTTGTACGGAAAAGCCATCATTTAACCAATCCCCTCTAACTAGATAATGCCTTTCTACTTTCTAGTAATAATGTTACTGGAATAATACTCATTTTGATTCATAATTTTATTCTTAGTGGTTCTCTTGGGATAAATGCCTAGAACTAAGGTCACTCATTTGAAGGTTACACTGAGTTTTTTTGTTTTTTGTTTTTTTTTTCCATCTCCACCAATAGGACTGAGCCAAGTGCGTCCCATAACAAACGCCAAGAAACACAGGACTTTAAATAAACAGCCTCACTGAAGAGCCAGAGGAGGACAAGGGGGCAATTCATGAAGCATAAAAGGGACGTTATTTGCAAGAGAAAAAGGTCCAAGAAGCATGGAGGGGATCTGCCAAGAGCGGGCGAAGCCAGCCAGATGCATCAGGAGTTATGGGGTGGGGGAGGCCAGCAAGGGCATCCATTCTCCTCCACCAGCCTAGCCTAGATGGCCGTCAAGGCCACAGCAGCGTGCTGCACTCGGGCATTGCATTTCACCGGTAAGACTCAAATGCAAAGAGAGAATGGCCAAAAATTCCAAGATGGCAGCCACTGAGCTTTGACTCCAAGCCAGGGCCCTTTGGAGCCCAGCAGGTCCTATGCACCAGATGGTTGCACCATGCAGAGATGCCTGCTGTAGCTGAGAGGTAGCCAGCAGGGTGGTTGGTTTTTTTTGTTTTTTGTGTTTTTTTTTTGCATGGGGTATACTGCTGGATGAAGTAGGATGAAGGGAGGGATGTTGCTTGTGCTGCTCTGTATTGACCAATTTTGGCATGTTTTAGAACTAAGAAATACAAGTTAAATCCACACAATCAGAAACACTGGGTATGTTGGTGACCTTTCGGGGTAACCTCTTGACCACCCTGGAAAGGTTACGCCTGGCCATGGTCAGTGGGCTGACCTTGTTTCAGCTTGTCATCAGCCCTTCTCAGCTTATCTATCAGGCTCAGTAAGGCCAGTCGTTACGCACTTAGCTGACTGTGTGACTCACAAGCCAAGAACGTAACCCACATGGCTAATGAGAGGGGCACGGGGAGACACAGCCGCTGCTGGGCCATAAATAATACGCACACTGTCTGTGCCAGACATTGTCAGAGCCTTTGTGTATATTGTCCCACTTAATCCTCACAGTAGCCCTGTGAACTAGGAATCATTACTCTCTCTCAATAAATGAAGTGGTCCCTGTATTGTGCTAGGCGCCGGGTCCCATCTGTGTATCTACTGCTTACCACTCTCTCCCTACTCTAGCCTGGGGGGTGGGGTGGGAGGCACCCTGATTTTAAAGGAGTGGAAATTAAATTAGATCTGTGCTTTTCTGACACTTGGGATACAAGCAAGTGCTTCCTCCTGGGAAAACTCCCAAGCAGGCAGTTGTTGATTTTGGTGTGTAGGAGACCCAGCAAGCAGATCCTAACATCCATTGCCCAGACTTCTGATTCAGTAGAGACTCAGGAATGTGGATTTCTGAAAGTCCCCCCTAGACTCTGAGGCAGAAGGCTTTAGAGACTTCAAAGGCTTATTGTATTATGAATGTAGATGTAGCTATATTCAGACCTGCCTGTCTGTATCTCACATATTAATACTCTCATTGATCTTGAAGGTTACAGACAAAAATCCTTATTTTCTCACAGTGAATTCTAGAGCAGTATAATAAAGTAAGATAGATTTGCTGGCTCCTTAAAATTTGTGTGCCCCTAGAGTACCTCTTCTTTTTAACATCCTCTACAAAATTTCCATCCCCTCCGAGAGACAAACCAAATTACTGACTTTGTCAAAAGACGGCAAACAGATGTGCCAGTGCTTGAGAAACTGTAGCCAGTGGCTTCTTGCCAAAGCTTCTGGCTATCTTAGCAGTGAAGCTGGGTAGGAGAGCGGAATAGGGAGGTTTAAAATGGTAGCTGGCAGCCGCACAGAGGACCAGCTGCTCCTTCACCCCAGCACCTGGCTGCTCCTGGTCCAGGTGACCAGAAAGTCTGCCCAAAGTCATGAAGAAATGACTGCCAGTGTTCTCCCTCAATGACAGACATCAGAGTTAAGACATTGCCAATGTATTTGGGAAGAATCTCTGATGTCACATCAGATGGATCCCTGGCTCATCGAGCCCTGTCTAGGCTCAGATCCAGAACACATGCCCATTGGTAATTTTGTCTAAATTGAGCTATAAATTAAATTATTACTCCTCAACCACTTACTGAGAGTTTGTCTTCTAATTTTCAAAATGAACTAGACTAGGATGGTGAGCCTGCCATTTCCTTAGTCTGATGAATAACTATAAATTGAACATGGTCTATAATATGTGACCTTTTGCATTGGTATTATTAGATATTCTAATAAAATATTGAATAACCCTTGCATTCGTGGATGATTGATTTTGGACAAGGATGCCAAAATAATTCCAAGGGGAAAAACAATTTCTCAATGGATGTATTAGAGATCCACATGCAGAAGAATGGAGTGAATCCTCTACCTCGAAACTTGCACAAAAGTTAAATCACAAGGAAGCAAAGATCTAAAAGTAAAAGGGAAAACTGTTAAATATTTCTTTAAAATATAAATGACAAATACTCCTGATATTAAGTTAGGCAGTAGTTCCTTAGAAATGACCCCAAAGCACAAATAAAAACAATGAAATCCATAAATGGACATCCTCCAATGTATAGGCGACCACGAAAATGAAAAGGTAATCCACAGGGTAGGAGGGAACTTTGGGAAATTATGTCCTTGTTAGAACGAGTTCGTGCAGTTCAATAACGGAAAACGACAAACGGCTCAGCTGAAGTATGAGCAAAGGGTCTGAGTAGACCCCGACCCAGAGAAGACAGGCACATGGCCGAGGAGATCCGACACCAGGAGACGGTACCACTGCCCCAGGAGACTGCGCTCAGGCCAACAAGATGGCGACTGGCATTGCCGCAGATGTGGAGAGCCGGGAAGCCTCCTGCTACTGTGACAGGCAGCGTTCCAGCTGCTTTCCCTCGGCCATGCTCTCAAAAAGGAAGACATGGAGTCTACCAGCAATGCCACTTCTAGGTACACACCTAACGGAAATGGAAACAGCCCCACAAAAACTTGCACTCGAATGTTTGTAAAGGTTAATCTTGATTGCCAATTTGGTGGGGTTTAGAACCAACTATGGAAACAAATCTTGAGCACGTCTTGTGAGGCGTTGTCCAGACTAGCTTAGGTAGGGCGGGAAGACTCACTATAATGTGGGTTGAACCGTTCCATAGACTGGGATCCTACACGGATTAAAAGGAGACCCTGAGCCAAGCACATCCATCTGTTGCTCTGCTTCCTGAACGCAGATGCAGTGCGTCCATGCCCCTGCTGCGGGCCTCTTACCTCGATGGGCTGCATCCTGGAACTGTATGCCAACATAAAGCCCTCCTTTCTTCCTTCATTGCCTTGGTTAGGTATGACGGCTCAGCCAAATAACTCACATATAATGTTCACAGCAGCAGCACTCCTAATAACTAAAAAGTAGAAATAGACCAAACATCTCACCAGCTGCTGGGTGGATTCATATTATTTGGTAATACAGACACTGAAGTACTGATATATGCTATACACCAACCAAGCTTGAAAACATTATGCTAACTGAAAAGCCAATTACAGAAGGTAACTGTTACAGAAGCTTATGATTACACCTTATAAAATATTCAGAAACGGGCAATTCTAGAGACGGAAAGGTAGCTTAGTGGTTGCCAAGGGCGTTGGTATTGAAGGAGATGAAAAAATGACTCTTAATAGGTATGGTATTTTTTCCCCCCAGGTAATGAAAGTGTTCTAAAATTGGTGGTGCAGGTGGCTGTACAACCAAATTATAGTTAAGGAAAGCGGGTATTAAAAGGGGGGGGGGGAACCCGTGAGCAACCCACTCCAGAATGCTTTATTGACGAGAGCGAAGAGGCGCGTCTGGACTTGCACAGCACTGGCTGGGGGGAGAGACTGACTTCTGAACTTGTACAGTCCCTAAGGTCAGGGGTCCTGACCACAGTGCCTGTCCCCAGAGAGGGTCGCCAACCTGTCACATCTGCCCTTAGCAGATGTGGAAACAGCTTCCTTCCCAAAGCCCTCAGCCACAGGCAAGAGGGATGCCTGCGAAGAGCTAAGGGCTGGGGCTGAGGACTGTAGTCACAGCAGCTGTCTGCAGTTGCTTGTGGAGGTGAAGTCTGAATTCTTCCCCCTACAAGGACACTCAGCAGGCGTCACACAGGCTGTGGAGCCGAGTGGCAGCTCTAAGGGACAGTGAAGGGCCAGCTTTACTTTCCTGTGTTCTCACGGGAACCTATGTCTTCTCTCCGCTTCCTTCCTTCCCTCTCTCTGACCATTCAGGGGGGCTCCCTGTTCATTTCTCCTCCCAGATTTTCACAGGGCAGATCCGAGGCTGTCCTCGCCAGGTCTCTGTAGTAGTTACTTGGGGCTGTCCTGACCTAAGCTGTAATAAAAGTTCAGCTCCCTCTACCATCATGGGTGCTCGCTGCTTCTAAGATGGGCAGTTACTGGTGAGTTCCTGTGACCACGGTGGTGGCACCCTGTACTCCTCCCAGGTTGTCTCAAAGACTTCTTTGCCCCCTCTCTTCCCTTTTCCTCTCCCTTGAATATTTCTCTTAAACACTTAAAATGCAAACACTGCTAGAAACATCACAGCAAAGCACAGCAATGTGGTGCCTTATTTTTTCACAGTCCAAGGGAAGGTGTAAAAAAGGCTGGTTTCCAACTGAGAGTTATGGATGATGCCTGCCTGTAATCCCAGGCAAACCAGGCTGATGGGGAGTTCCAGGTCGGTCTGCCTGTAATCCCAGGTAAACCAGGCTGATGGGGAGTTCCAGGTCGGTCTGCCTGTAATCCCAGGTAAACCAGGCTGATGGGGAGTTCCAGGTCGGCCTGCCTGTAATCCCAGGTAAACCAGGCTGATGGGGAGTTCCAGGTCGGCCTGCCTGTAATCCCAGGTAAACCAGGCTGATGGTGAGTTCCAGGTTGGCCTGCCTGTAATCCCAGGTAAACCAGGACGGCCTTGTCTATACAGCAAGACCTTGTCTAAATAAGTAAATAAATAAATAGTTCGGCTTCCCCGGAGGCCCCTCTCCCGTGCTTATAGATGGACGCCATCTCTCTGTGTCTTCACAGGGCCTTTCCTAAAATGTCCTTTATATAAGGACACCAGTCACATTAGACTAATGTTCACTCAGATTAACTTTCAAAAGCCCTTGCTCCAAATACAATTATATTTCAAAGTTAGGGGTAAGAGTTAAGACTTCGCTACAAATATATTTTTTAAGATTTATTATTGCCAGATGGTGGTGGTGCACACTTTTTATCCCAGTGCTCAGGAGGCAGAGGTAGGCAGATATCTGTGAGTTCGAGGCCAGCTGATTGACAAAGCGAGTTCCAGAACAGCCAGGGCTACACAGAGAAATTCTGTTTCAGGGGGGAAAATGGATTTATTATTTATTTTTATTTATGTATATGAATGTTTTGTCTGATATATCGTCATGGAAAACATGTGCCTGGTGACCTGGAAGGCCAGAGGAGACACCGCATTCCCTGGATCTGGAGTTACATGTGGTCGTGAGACACCGTATGGGTGCTAGGAACTGAAGCAGGTCCTCTCCAAGGTCAGCAAGTGCTCTTTAAGATCATGCCACCTCTTCAGCCCTCAGTGCACAGTACACAATATTAAGTACAGAATATTAAGGAGACACATCTTGCAGTTCCTTTTATAAAATAATGTTCATTTACCTTACTTAAAAAATAGATGTTTCGGGCATGGAGAGATGGCTCAGAGGTTAAGAGCACTGGCCCACCATCCAGAGGTCCTGAGTTCAATTCCCAGCACCCACATGATGGCTCACAACCATTTACAATGAGATCTGGTGCCCTCTTCTGGCCTGCAGGGATACATGCATGCAGAACACTGTATACATAATAAATAAATAAATCTTAAAGAGAGAGAGAGAGAGAGAGAGAGAGAGAGAGAGAGAGAGAGAGAGAGAGAGAGAGACGTTTCGTGTAGCAAACTGGACTATGGTGATAAGAAAGTGAAAATTACCTACAAACCTATCAGTCGGGACAACTATTAGTAGATGTTTTGTCTGTCTCTCCCCTATTTATTTTCAGTGCATGAGTATGCACACACACACACACACACACACACACACACACACATACACACACAATTTTTAACAAGTAGACAACGAAGCTAATCCATCTTGCTCTTCTCCATAAACGTTTCTACTAAGTTTCATCCATCCCTTACTTCTTCCTCAGGTTAGATAACTTGTTTCTTCTATTATTCGTTTTTTAACCAGTCAGTGCTTTTCAGGGTATTTAACTGGCCCCTTCTCTGTACCAGGCACTCTTTAGGTGCCGGTTACATCTGAAGCTATGGTTCACTGGTGTTGCAGACTCTCAGCCAACTCCTCCCCCAGCCTCCTTTCTCTCCTCCCTGCTCCCCTGTTCTGTGTCTAGTCCCTCAAGTCCATACCAGAGAAAACACAGGGAGGTGGGTAGCAGAGGTTGACTTTTGTCGGAGGGAGAAATGATGATCTGAAAGTGTGTTGACACAATGATGTCTGAGAGGAAGGTACCCTGTGGATGAGGTACCCTGTGTTTTTTCCTTTTCTGCGAAGCTGACTCTGGATCCCATTTTTTTAGGTTACAGTGTGCAATCCCGAGCACCTACCAAGCAGCATCCTTAGGGTGACAGCAAGTGCTGGGGCCGAAAAGTCCTAGGAACTGGGTGTGAAGAGTGGCCCTCAGACTCACACTTCCCATCGAGAGGACCTGGTGGCTTTCCTGTTCATCTTCTGCGGCATCCTGTTCATGTCCTCTTACCACAAAGTTGATAGATCCAATCAGTACAGGACTGAAAATGCCCTTTGACTGACCCAAAGATGTCTGAAACCACCAACGCCTCCTGGCTTTGCTCTTTAGAGTCTATCTGAGTCTTCTGATACAGTTTTATATTTTGCTGCAACGAATGTTGGTATCCTCCATAAATTATACCCTGAAAGGTAATTTCTAATGCAATAGTCATAACGGTGGGAGCTTTAGGAAGAAATTGTCATGTGGGATCTAGCCTCATGGATGAAAGCTGTGCCTTCATACAAAAGCTGGAAGGCTTGCCTTCCCTTCAGACTCGGTCATGTGAGGAAGAATCAAAGGGTACCCTCTTTGAAGCAGGACTACGTAGTGGGTCTGTAAACTCTAAGATCTCTGCTTTCGTGGGCATTTGTGCTTAGTCTCATTAAAACAAAAGAAAAACTCCCCAAACCCAAACAACAGAGCATCCTAACGAGTCCCAATGTATCTTCTCCGTGTTAATGAGATGTACTGTGTCATCAATAGAAATGTTTTGGTTTGTCTGTTACCTTAGAGACAGCCACGGCAGGGTGGAGAGGTGGCTTTGATGGTTAAGAGCACAGGAGCACATACTGCTCTTGCAGAGGACAGGATTTGGTTCCCAACAGCCACATGGTGACTCACAGATGCCTCTAAGTCCAGTTTCAGGGGATCTGATGCCTTCTTCTGGCTACTGTGTGCTCCTGCAAACACGTGGTGCACGTATTTACACACACACACACACACACACACACACACACACACACACACACACACACCACAGGCACAGCTCAAATGTCCTCCCAGTCCTTCTAGGGCAGAATAGACCTTAGGATCAAAGTAGCTTGCTGGCAGAAGTGAGGTCACACTGCAGAGCACCCAGTAAGAGGGTGAGTGATGGAAGGAAACTATCCTGGTTTCTCTTCTCCTCCTTAGACCTATGAAGTCAGCCTTCTGGGTCATTGATGGCAGGTTGAACAGAATTCCAGGAAGCCGCTCCCAGGCTTACTGTCTTACGCCAGAGCTCTCAGGCCAAGAGTGCAAAACAACAGCCAGGTGACCCTGGAAAATCTCCACTCCAGACAGGATGGGGACTACCTGTCTGAGGTGGGAAATGATTCCAAGGCACCTTAGCAAGCTGGGTGCTGTGGACATGTGGTAACCCACCCAAGGGGACAGGGAGGGACTGCCAAACTAAGTCAAGAAGGAGTGGTGGCTTTGGTTTGAAAGACCCCAGCATACTAGCTTAGCCTAACGCCATTTCGAGTAAGGTCTGAAAAGCACGGGGTGTCTACGGCCGACCACCTGGCCCCAGAAAAGGGTACTAAAGGTCAGAAAAACAACTTGGAGCCAGACAGCAGGCGTGTCAAGCTCAGGGAAAAACCACGAGCTGTCCTGAGTTTGAACCTGGCCTCATTTGAATC